ATAACATAAACCCATAAATAACAGTTTCGTACGGTGTAGTAGGGATATTATACGATATTTTTTATCATATACAGTATATTTCCCAGCCAAATTTTAAAATGTCCTATTCACTATGAAAATATAAGTATAAAAATTTCCAATATTTTAATGCATTATATAACACAACTGCCAGATTATACTAAAAGAATATTTTTTAAGCAAATACTTTTTTAGCACAATTAATCAAGCCTGTTATGTAAGGTTGCCCAGAAGTCAAATACCATAGAATGACCCATTTACCCATCCTCATTGCGAAGAATACTTCACGATGAAACTGGATCCGAGTAAAAAAATTTCAGTTTAGTAGACTAAATTCTATTTATTTATAACTGAATACTGTAGAGTATTTTTGCTGATTAATAAGAAGCCAGTACATTTCTTAGATCATAAATTATAAATGTTTGAAAAAGAATTACTATAAAAATTGCTTAAGAGTTACTCACTGTATGGTCAGAGGAAGTTGATAACAAAATTATAATACAATTTTCTTAGAGCATGAAAAAAATTGAAAAAAAATGAAGAGTAAAACTTATCCATTTTATTTAATCTTATTAAATTCTTGATAATAGTGCAACCAATGAGTGCAACAGCAAAAATATGATTGTACCCCCTGAATTACTTGACTAAGATTTGGCAAAGCACTAAGGTAGTTCATTGCCAGCCATTAAAAAAAATTCTTTTCTAACAGAGCTTCTTATAAAACATTTTGTCAGCATACTACAATTTCACATGAACTAAAAGCTTTTGTAGCTTATAATGGAACATTTTATCAGAGAATTATTATTTCATACCCAATTTTTTCAATTGTTAGAAACAAATATTGAAGGAAGAAAAAAAATTTTTTTGATTCACTATATTAACTAGATCAATGAATGATTTGTTTTATAATTATCATACTTGCTAGTCTTCATGTTAATTTTATTTTTCCTTATTTTTTATATCTCATTATACAATAGGACCAAGATTTTACATTTACCATCGGAAAAGCGTTAAAAAAAAGTATGAAGCAGGAAAACTATCGGGTTAAAAAAAATACAAGTACTTTTTTTACAAATTGACATTTATGAGATGAACTATTAGAAAAATATGTAATTTTTACTTTTTCTTTGTTTTTAGATACACTTTTAAGACTATTACCTCAGTACTTATTAGAGTTTGCAAATTTGCTTTCCAGTTTACATTCACAATTAAATATTGTTTCAGAGTTCTTATGTTATGAAACTCTTTTGATTAGTTGTGGGTATATCCTCTGATATATTTTATTCATCTTAATCCTTTTCTTCACTATCATCAGTAGCGGGCATTAAATCAGATATTGCAGGAATTGAAAAGTAATGGGATGTGTGTTACAATCGATATACACGTCATCAACATCTTCAGCCGGCTGTATTAAACTTAATTGTAATACATTTTAGTCTTCTCTGTTTAATGCTGCAGAAATCAGATTCAGAGCTTCTAGAAGAATTATTTTAGTTTAGAAGAATCTTACAGATTACAGGAATCAGGATTGGCTGATTTAAATCAATGTGGTTAAATTTTAACCAATTTAACCGAAGGTTTGTATTTATTAAAATCAAGCTTTGTTTTTTTCTTTTTTAAAAAAAAAAACAAGATTTTGTATATAATTATATACATTTTATATTATTTATATAAATACTTCTAGTTTGATCATAACAAAATGAAAAAATATTTCTTACATTTTTACAATTTTGAGTTTTATTGCTAATGGGAACATGTGTTATTTGAATTAAATATAAATCTGCAATTTTTAAATGCTTGTGTGGAAATGATTTTTTACAAAAATATCTAGGTTAAACAGCATTGACGTGTTATTCTGAAGAAATCTATTTCTTCCTGAACAGCGGCAGAAACTGTACAAAATGGAAGAAACTGAAAATGACCAATACAATTGTTTCATAATAAGTATTATAAGAATAACTCAAACAAATTAAATACAATATAGTAACAGAAAGTTTAAAATTTATCACATACATTTCTCTTTTTTAAAATTTTTTTATTTATTTATTAGTTTTATGAAGAATTTTAAAATCTATATATCATATTCTTTAAGAATTAGCTTGGATTGAGTATATCATTTGATAACAAAAATTAGCCATTTGTAATTGAGAATTCAATATTTTTTAATAATTGATATTAATAATAAAAATTTATACTGCTAAATAAGGACATTAATGCAAATAATTCTGAATTATGACATTTCTTTACATAATAACAATCAAGGAGATAAACTAATTTTTACATATATGCATTATTAAAAAACATTTAGGTATTTAAATAATTGTTTGCTTGTTAAATGAAGTAATAAATATTCAAGATCATTAGTTATATGTTTTATCATGTTCATTTATTTATAACAAAAAGTGAATATTTTTGATTGCATTCTTTATGAAAATATTAATCAATAGTTAAAAAGATCTCAGTAAAAAACTTTTTAATGGATAAATTACTTTCAATTTGGAGTTTAACATGTTATTAAACTTTTTGTTTTAAATAAGCCTAAAAAAACCTGTTTAAATCAAAATAAAACCTGATTTAAACTTTAAAAAAAATTTAAGCTTTTATGAAAAAATTTCGTTTTTTTTTTTTTTTTTTTGTTCAATCCAGATCGGAATTAAGAAAAAGAAATTATTACCTAACCAGTTGTTTTGTGTAACGTTTTTAAATGAGTCGATTATTCCAAGTTTCAAAATTTCAAGTTTGCAATTCCACTTGCAAATTTTACTAGTTTAAGCTCCCACACTTCCTGTGCTTTGCCCATCCCACCACTGTCCTGATTTTGACTCAAAGAGGGAAATTCTCTCTCGCAGACAAAAGGACAATAATATCTAGAAAGAACGCCACTGAAGCTTCAAACAAGTCTTTCTTTTTTTAAAAAAAAATTAAAAATGAGAAAGAATTTGTGAAAAGTTTGTGTGAGCTTTGTAGGAAAAACATGACTGTTAGGAAAAACATATAAAGCAATATTTTCTTAAAAATGGTAGCCTAAAATATGGGGAAATTTAATGTTATGGGTAAAAGAAGTTTTCACGGACAAGCAGAAAATGGCAATAGGAAGCAGAATAGCATACAAAATGGACAATGTAAAACCGGGGTTCCACTGTCTCTTATATACTTATGCATAATGTATCCATATTTTTTATAATTTTTACTAGTAAATAAAAACATTGTTAAAGCAACATAAACTTTTTTAAAAAAAGTTTGAAGTAAATTGTTTGATTATGTTTAAAAAGAACTTTTGAGACTATGGTCAAACTATTGATTTAAATTAGCATAGAACACATAACTTAGAACACAATTCTTCAATATTAATGTTTTGAAACAAGCAACATCAAAATTAGTAATGTGATTGGGTGTGAACTGTTTTAAAATAATCTAAAGCTTAAGTGTGACAGTGATGTGAATAAGTGATTGTGAATTATAATAATATTGAGTAAGCTTAATTGTTTTTAGAACAGATTGAATAGAACGATTCATACTTATGGAGCAATAATTTTACTTGTTCTTAAACCATAATTAAACATTTATAAAAACTAAAGGACCATTTATGAGAATAACTTATTACAAATACACTATTAAATATTACCCGATAAAAACTTCATTTGCTTTAAAAATATATAAATAAGAAATAACAGTCAATATATATCAAGATCAAACAAGCACCCATTTTCAGAAATGAGAAGAAGCAAAAGTGATTTGAAATATGAAGCGAAAAGTTACCAACGAAAAAATAAAGGTGATAAACAAAACTAGAAAAAACTACAGAAGTGGAAAGAGAAAAATAAAGGAAAAACCAAACAAGAAAAAGCACAGTAGCAAAGAGGGCTGAACAGGGTAAAACGAATTTCCACTCTATGGAGAGGTAGTGAGGAACTAATGTTGTTAACAAGGGAACCAGCATTCATATGAATAAAATAAGATTGCAGGGCATCAAGATAAGTTGGTATGATTGGGGTGGAAATAATTTTGGCGTAGTCGAAAATGAATTTAAGCCCAAGATTCCAGCAATGCATAGCAAATGATAATTTTTCGTATTCTTGATAATGGACATATCTATCGTAGCCCTTGAGTCGACATTTTAAAGTGTGTCTAGTTTGTCTGATATAGCCAAGTTTGCACTGACAATGAATATGGTAAATGCCTCAGCGATTATTAAAGCTAATAGGATTTTTCAAAGACTTTAATTTTACTTTGTTAACTGATCAAAAATGACTTTAAAACCAAAACGGGAGAGGATATTAGCAGTTTTAAAACAAATGGGAGAAAAAAAACGGTAAAGTAACAAGTTATTATTCCATATTTTGCTGGCAACTTATCGTTTTATATTTTAAATCACTTTTATTTATGTCTGGCAAGTCTTGAAAATAGAAGTCTGTTTTTGAAAGCTTGAAATATATCAACTATTATTTCCTATTTATTTATTTCTGAAACGAATGAAGTTTTAATCAGGTAATATCTTACCACTTCAGTTTCTTGGGGTCATTTATTAAGCACTATGAAATATTTTCTTTTTAGTATTTATAATGTATATTTCCATAAGATAATGGAATGTTTTTTGAATTATTCTATAAAAAAGAGAACATATTTAAAAAGTATGAATTATTTATTAAATTCGGAAAAACCTACAACAATATAAAACTTTATCAATTTTTTTTACAGAAATTTAAAATTAAATTCCATTAAATTCACATAATATATTTATAAAAATATAGCAAAACTTATACTTCCTAAATGGGGAAGTACTTGTACTTTACAAATCCAAATGGAATGTTATAAAAATTATAGTTTCAAAAATCTTGTATATCAATTTTAGAATTGAAATGCACTAATTGAACATAACTATGAAATAATAGACATTTTTTATTAAGTTTTTCATAGCAAAATACTAGTATGATCATTTTAAAGTATCCTTCAAATTCAAAAATTTATTATAAAGCTTAAAGAGATAGAGTGCATAGACATATTCAGATGAAGTTAAGTGAAGTATAACAAAACAGTTTTAAAAATATATGAAGGGCTAAAAATGTTTATTGCCTACTAAACTACAATCCTGTTATTTCTAAATACAAAATTTTCACAAATTAATAGAGGCAAAATCCTCTTGCTTTCAAGTAAACTACATCAAATGTGTTTTATCTATATGTGTGTATAAGAAACAATTTTCTCTTTATCACAGTTTTGACACATGATTCAATAGGTTTTGATTTTTAGTTGTGCTCACATCCAATTGATGTAAATTTTAAGTAATATCTTAGACATTCATGTAAAAAAATTATCGCTCATTATCACTCTTTTAGTTATTCTGTCTCTACAAAACAATCTAATACTTATAACAAACAGATGAAAATACTAACAAGCAGATGAAATACACAATGGATTTAGGCATAAGTTTGTGCAATAAATTGGATAAAATATTTCAAGCATAAAGAATTATTTCCGCCAATAAAAAAATATTGAAAATTTTTGTTTCTTTTTTTATTATAAACTCTTATCTTTAGTTAACATTAACATGTGTGAAAATAGAATAATTTAAGTTAAGAAACATATAGATATAACCAACTTACGTGTTTTGTCATAAAAGACAAAAATATCTATTTAATAAACAGTACAACTTTTCACAAATAACAATTCCTTAATGCTGCTTTACATAGAATATAAAGTTTTGGTGACATTTGTAAATAATTAAATTTTAAATTTTGTTAGAGTCTACAAAGATGGAAAATCTATTTCTATCTGAATAGGGAGTTCAATCAAACTTCCAACTCAAATAACACTTTTTAATTGCCTGGTAGTTCTCTGCACTTAGACTTCTGTGTTCTGGCATACATGTAACAATAGAAGAAACCAGTTTCTCAATTACTTTTTTCAAAAGAGAAAACTTTATAAAGAGGAAACATACTCTCAGAAATATGCCTTTTCTTTAATAGTACTAGAAGGGTAAAATATTTTTATCGTGCAAATCAATCTACATTTATACATTTTTAAATATAGATAGAAAAATTACTCAAGAGTAAAAACATTGAAATTTTTTATGTAATTAACACAAATACAACAATGATCCAACTTAAATGAAATTCTTTTAATTATCTTACAGATGTTATTTAATTTGAAATTAAAAAGAACATAAATTTAGCATAAATTAAGTTGTTAGTCACATGTGTATAACTATGAATATTATAATCTGGATTTATGTGTATTTTCCTGAAATACTTAACCATTAACAGCTTTATTTCATCAGCCAAGCGGAATGATATACAAATTTAATTATTTTAAAATGAATAATTCTAAAATTAAAAAAGATTTCAAACCAAGTTTCACATGCACCTTTTTCAACTGTACAGATTTTTCAGCTGATATACAAATGATATACAAATTTAATTATTTTAAAATGAATAATTCTAAAATTAAAAAAGATTTCAAACCAAGTTTCACATGCACCTTTTTCAACTGTACAGATTTTTCAGCTGTACAGTTATTGTTTTAATGGTAAATGAAATATTGTTTTAATATATGGTTTGCTAAATCTGAAATAATTGCAACCGTGGTAGGAACAAAAAAAATTTTAACAAACATTTTTATGAACTAAACATTATAACAATAAAGAGCAATAATGGTATTACCTCACAAATTATTAATAGTATATATAACATTACAGGTAATAATAACTAGTATGTGGTACAACAAAGAAATAAAAGTTACCTTTGTATTGCAATATTTTAAACTACAAAACAATGATTGAAGCACAATTAATATAATTAAAAATCACTTATTATCATTTTCGTATATTATTTGTGCTTTAAAGATTGTTTCTGACTTTATTATGCGTTGTTCATTATTGCACATGACATGTTTATTATTATTGCATTAATTAGTTATAAACGATTTTTAAAAAGTTATTAACGAAGTATAAAAGAATTTTACCAATAACATTTTAGAGTAAAGGATTATCTTAATATGAGAGAGTATGTGTATATGCTTCCTAACAAATTACTTAGATAAAATAATCAACATTTTTAGACTAGAAATGGGAAATTTTAATGCATATGTTAAAACTATATTTATGCAAATAATTTCTAGAACATATAGGGCTTATCAAAAAAAATTCTCAATATTAAACAGAAGTAACACTTTCAGAAATGCTTTGTTAACACAATGAAAAAAATATTTTTTTGGAGGCAGGGGGGGGACATATTGCAACTGAAAAAAATTTAACAAAAAAAAGCCTTTTCCTAATGGAAACAACTTTTGGGAGGAAATTTTCATTTATTAATTTTTGTATAAAATCTAAGGATATATATATATNTATATATATATATATTCTTTTTTTGAAGTTTGGAAGACAGTTTTGAAATTTCGGAACATTCTAGAATAAAAATTCAGGAGTTTGCACCAATATCATGCATGCTAAATTACTTTATATGTAGTATTAGCATAAAACAGAATATTAAGCAGATAATTTTAATATAAATTACATATAATAGCAATACTCAGTATTTATCCATCTCAAAGAATAAATAGGTGGAGGAAAATGTGCATCATCTACATATTTTAGTGGTGTAAGAAAATTTAAATAAATATTATCTAATAATTACACCAATATAATGTAACAACCAATGCTATGATAATAAACTAAATCTGCAAAGATCAGTAAATGTGAAAGAATTAGGTTAGGCAGAGCTAGTCTTTTTTAAGGTAAAATACGAACAATGCAGTATTTTGTCACCTTTTTAGAGCTTGAAAAAAGAAATTTCAAAAGAAATTAATCAAAACAATTTCAAAAATAATTTTTCACAAATGTTATAAAGAAAAAGTGTTTAAAGTTGTCACTAAACAATAAAAAATGATTTTAATTACACAGGTAAATAAATTTTATATTTTTACTAGTTTGAAAAAAAAGCATAGAATTTTGAATTAAATTTTATGTGGGGCTTAAAAGCACAAGGCAGCTGAAAACATTGGTAAAATTACCAAAAGACAAATCAAAGTACTTAAAACTGTAACTAGAGTAAATTTAAAAATAAATTAAGAGAATTAGTACTGAGAGCTGTGTGTAATTTTTTATAAATGTAATTGTTCATAGTACTGCTTTAAAGTTCTAAAAATAATACTAAAGGTTCATTAAATGAAATTGCTTCAACTGATAACTTTAATAAAAAACAACTATTATGTACAAATATTTGTAAATCTTTAAAAAAAATCAATATTTTTTTAATAGTTATATTTTTTATTAAAGACTAGAGCAATTTAAGATTTAGAAAACATAAATGGCAACATGGTGAAAGAAAGACATGCTTTATAATGAAGCTGTTTCAAAAGAATAAAATGAAAGACACCAAAGTTTTGCAAATAAAAAAAGAAGTCAAATAGAGTATACAAAAATAGAAGGATCAATACTTATAACTTTCAATCTAATGACCTGATTTTTTATGGAGTAAGTTGAATTAAGATTTGATAAGCTAATCTTGGATGAACAAATTAAGCTAAATAATAATATATTTAGCACAATTTTCTCATTAGTCAACTTGTTCAAAGGCATTTTAATATTCAAATATACCTATTTGAATATTAAAATGCCTCCTAAAAAATTTACTTTTTTTATCCAAGATACATCTCAAATTGAAAAACATACTAAATTTTTATAAAAATTGCTCTTATAGTTATTAAAAAAGTGGTTAATTAACCTTATAGCTCATGATACATTAATAAGAGAACTATTTCTTTTAAATTCCTAAATCATAAAATTATTTTAATTGTACTGAGTAAAACTTAAAAGAAAATTTTAATCTTAAATTTTTTAAAGACAAGCCTTAAGATTCAATGAAATCAGCAGTATGTCAGAGATAGAGAAATTATATAAAATTTAATTAAAAGAAAGAATAAAATGTATTTAGAAATTATTATTTTTCCAAAGCTATATCTTAAATATTTTAAAAGTTTAAACCATCATTCTTTAGGCATTGTAGTTCAAACTTTAAAAATTTAAGTATGTTTATTCCAGAAATTCCTTTATCAAATGTTCCAAGTTTGTAATAATTAGAGCTAATTTACAAATATATTAGGTATGCTTTAGAAATTATAGAAGCTGCTATTTAGATACCGTACATTACAATATATTAACTGTATCATAAGTTATACTTGATATTTTTCCTTTTTGTTAATTGTATACAACATTGTTTAAACAAAAAATTCAGACACATTCACATATATAATCAAATTAAATACAGTTGAAATGAAATCTTAAGATGAAATATTTACAAGAATGTTTCAACAAAGACTACAAATCACTTTAACATAGAAAGCCAATAAGATATAACATTTTTAATGAACATTACACTTTCATTGCGAGGTTGTGCATCTGGAGGCATTTCTAGAGGATGGACAGCAATTTTGTAATACTTAGTCAGCTCAGGAACTTCAAATGCATCAGCAATATCCATGGGAGAGAATGCATTCTTTAAATCCTAAAACAACAAACATTTTTTTAACAATCATAATAAGATCAGGCCAAAGTACGAGTAAAAAATTAAACAAAATGGCAAACTGTTTTAAAAATTGTTTTGTACTAAAGTAAAGTTAAAAAAGCATTTTTAATTATTTTGCATTGAAAACTAATAGAAAAGTAGCTGGACTGTTTAAAATTTTTATTGTTTTCAAGTTTCTTAGTCAGAATATAACAGAGAAATAAATGCACAAAAGAATTATTTTCAATCATTTAAATGAGTTTGTATTCTGGACTTGATATGAAAAACAAACAAAAGTCAAATGATCAATACGAAAAATCTTTGCATGAAGTCTTTTTTATAAAAAAAAAACTTTCCTTTATGTCAATAATAATTTCTAAAACTGAAATCGCACAAACAGAAAAAAAATGTAGTAGAAATACTGTTCAGAAATAATAAAAATATTAAAATGTGCCATTTAATAATGGCAATTGCGATTTTCTTCTTGAAAGTTTATTAAAACCGATTTTGATTTCTCAAAAAGAAAATTTAACAGCAAAAATGTTTCAAGAAAATGTCAACAAATAAATTAATAAGTGGAAATTTATTCAATACTTGATGAATGGTATTTTGAAATATTATATTGGAACAAGAACCTCTATTATTATGAGCCTGAGTGAAACAAAATCTACAAACGATATCTGAGTGCTACAATCTACAAATGATAACAGGCTCTGTCAGAAAAATAAAAACCCTTTAAATCAGAACTTCAAGCAAGGCTAGGAATTTTTCTGATTGAATTATGCAGAAATTTAAAATATGGATTATGGGGATGAAGCTATTTATGGTTGAAAATAAAGTGGTAGAAAATGAATATGAATGGTATGATGATGATAAAATATTAAATGAATAATACCTATGTAAATTTTTACCTGGGTGGTAAAAATGTAGATATAGTGCGGCTTTCAGGAGAACGCCTCCAGACACCCATCTCGCATCGTGGTGGGTACTATGGTTACGAGGAAAGGCCCCTTCAAATAGGGGTGTGGGTTGATTAGTTTTGGTTTTATCTTAGCGTATAGGGCGTCGTGAGTAAACCAATCGACACCCTATTTCCTCCATTTCACCCCCATTAGAAATGTGTCCTCGCTTGTTACCATAGCAGCAGACAGCCCCAGACTTTCAGTCTGGAGGAGTTCTCCTCAAAGCCGCACTATAGGTATTATTGAAGGAAGAAACAAAACTCAAGTTTTTAGTTTAGTTTACATAGAGGGCAAAGTTTAATTCAAAGAGAATAGAACAAAAGGACGAATGAAATTGCACAACTAATAAATTAAAAATTCTAAATTTAAAAAAGTTATAATTCTTGTAAGGTTTAAATTTTGAAACAAGAAATAAAAAATTTTATTTATAAGTAATATATTGAGAAGCTTATAAAAAAATTAAAACTAGTCATCACTTTTATTATTTATACTTTATACCAAGATTAGAAACCAATTTAGACAAATTTGATCAATTTTGAACAGATTATCTTAATCCATATTAAATTTCACTTTTTCTACTAGTTTTTCCACTTTTTTGTGCTTTATTAGAAAAAATAGGTTTCTTCAACACTCACCTAAATTTAAATCATAATATAACACTCAAGGAATTTTATTTAGATTTGTTAATAAGGTAGTTTTTCTTCATAAAAAAATTACTTTCTTTCAATACGAGAAAGAAGCTCATAAAATGAATAATTGCCTAAACTCACTCAAGTTTAAAACCTTTAAGTTATTCAATAAGTCAGAGTTGTGTTTAATATAGTCAAGATTTTCAAAGGTTTGAAATCAGGCTCTAGCATATCATTTCAGAGCATTTTTATTTCAGAGAAACTACTACATTTGGAACATCTTATATTCTACTGAAAAACACTTGAATTTAAACATCAATGCAAAATAACTACATTTAGTTTTTATTAACAACCATAGCAAAATCAGTTAAAAATTTAAAGGAGACCATTAGAAGAGAGAGAAAATATTAAAAAAATTATAAGCTTCACATTTTAAAAGAAGACATTTTAAGAACTATTTTTAAAAAATTGCTTGCCTTAAATACATTAACAATATTTAATGATATGATTAAATTTTTCCATAAATTTTTTTTTTTAGAATACTTCAGCTAAGTTATTAAATCTAAGTAAGCAGCATAATTAACTAAGTAAGCAGCATAAGTAATTGAAAGCATTAAACATCAATCCATGCATTTTGTAAATAACATATTTTGGTTGAACTCCCTAACCATACCACATGAATATTATTATATTCTTGATTAATGTTGATCGATATTGTGACCGCCAAGGAATATCGAGCAAATTTTTAACATTGTGTGATGTCCATTGGTAACAAATTTTAAATTTTGTTTCAGATTTTACATAAGATCATTTCATTGCTGAAGTCTATGAGAAGAGTAATACATTTGATTTTAAACAGAAATGAGTTACAATTATTGAAAATCCTAAAAAACAAAAATATATCTTTTTCAAATCATTTTAAAATGATAAATATTGCAAGCTCAATATCTTGCTCGCAGCATCCCTTTTCCTCATTACACCCTTCGCAGCTTCTTCTCTCCAAACTCTGACATACGCACAGTTTTTGCTTCAGTGGGTAGAAGGTAAGGAAGAGAGCGGGAAACTCAGTCTAAAGAAATAGAAACGCTATTGTTTTTGTAAAAAGGTATTTTTCTTAAATATATAATAATTTTATTTATAGTTATTATTGAGGAGCACTTTTACTGAGGGGCACTTTTGTGATTGTTCTCTCTCTAATAATTATTAAATAAATATTGTGACCTGTTTCCCTGCCTAAGCCCTGTTTTTATCCTTCCTCTCAGAAACGAAGTTAGAAGTTATCAGGATTAAAAGGTTGGGAAGAGGGTACATCAAAGATATGAAATATCTCATTTAAATGGACAACTAAAAATACATCAATCAACATCTTCTTCAACTTATGGCTAATACATCAACATCTCAACAAGTAGTAACTTTTTTCAAGCACCAATAATTTTTTTAACAAAAATTATGCATATAATACCACATGGTGCGAAATTGCATTTACAATGCAAGTGTTAAAAATCATTTGCTGGTCTTTAATTCATAATTCTATATCTCTTCATGACTACTTCAAATTAGAGGAGATTGCTTAGCACAGATTTTGCTATGCTGTGAATGCTTATTGGAAATGTCTGAACCTTGACACTAGAATAATTTATGATGGTTTACTTAGATGTTCAACATTCCCTCCTCCTATTCAGGACGTGTTAAAGAATAATCTGCTTCAATTTCTCCTTATTTTTTGGTGTTAATTTACAATTCATTATAAAGAAGAAACTAATTTTTTATATCGATTTTCATCTTTAATTATGTGGTTTTTAAATTGTCTTCATGGACTAGTTCAAACTATCTTCAGTTTCATATCCTTTTGTAGTATTTTTCACAATTCTTTATGGCGCAAACTTCTAAAACATTTCTTAAATTTGTATTGATTAAGCACTCATATAAATTAAAAAAAGAACTTATTTGAATCAATGCTCTTCAAGCGTGATTTGCAGTGAAAAAAGTTTTTATTCTAATCAGTTAAATCGGAAGTAAAAAAATTCTGAGCAAGTTACTCTGTTGTGGATAACAAATGTAAAACTTGCAATTTGCGTGTTCGGTTTAGAAAAAAAAAAAGCTTTTATGCGGTTGATTTGAGTGAGGAAAAAGGTACTCCAATAAAATATCTACCGTTTTAAGATTATTTAAAAAAGAAAACTGTGATAAATCATTTTTAGAGTATTTTTCATGTGATATAATTTATTTTTGCTTTCATAAGATGGTTTTGGTTGAAATATACTAATTATGGATTTCCTTTTCAATTCATAATTGTTAATTTTTCTTTCAAATTAATATAATCTTTATGAAAACAAATGAAAACAAACAACTTTATGAAAACAAATTTTTTTATGAAAATAAAAGCATCTGATTTATAAATTTTGATCGATTTTTTTACATTTATTGAGCTCTATTACATTGTTAAATAGATTTGTTTATTTTTACAATTCGAAAATACAGTAGAGAACCATTTATTCACAGGTTTTATCAAAAAGTTTTTTTCAAAATTCCGTTGTTCTTATAATATCCTGCCTTGCTCCTGGTTTTAATATTTATGCTAGTCCTTTTTTTTAAACTATCCCTAACTATAATTTTCAAGTGTTATTTTCATTTAAATTAAAAAGTTTTCCTTTTTAAAAATATATTGCGTTATTTAATCATTGCTTTTGTTTTATATTAGTTAATTTGATGGTTTAATTATTTTCAAAAAATAAATTTGTGAATTTTGTATTTTTTTAACTTGCTTTCTTGTCTAAAGTTCCAAATATTTTTATTCTTTTAAATGTTATTTTTCGAACATTTATTTTTAAAATTTAAGAGAGCTTTTTTTCTTTTCGTATAGTAAAATGTGTTACACTTTTTCCTTGTAATTTGGGTTCGATAAAACATTGATTAGTGTCACTTTTTGGCCCGTCCAAAAAACCGGGAAATTCAGACATCTGGGATAGCGATGGCTCTGAGCATCCCAATTATTGAAATTTATTTTTATTGTTTGAATGCCCGTACAAAGTGGCAGAAATTATAAATTTAACATGGAAAGAGATTTAGCCCCAGTTTCAGAAAATGTTTAAACTAATACAAATAATTTGTAAGATTAATTAAACACTTGTTTTCAAATTTTAAATTTTAATCAAGATAAACTCGATGAAAAACCAGATATATTAATCTTTGAGCCCGACATTGGTGTTCAATTCAAAACCTGTCTCAAACATTTCGAAAAACAATATACAGATTCTAAAATAAATGAAGAGTGGAAACTTAAAAATTTTCAAAAATTCTTAAAAGGTTCAGCTTTGAAATTATTTATTAATAAACAGTTTAAATTGTAATTCTTTTCAAGAAATAGTTGAAACTTTTCAAGAACATTATTTTTCACCTCCTTGTGGCT